ATGGTGTCAGGATCGGGAAGCCGTGAAACGGCCAGGACGGCGCCGGGCCGCCGGGGAAGCCGGGGAAGCCGGGACGCAGCCGAGCCGTGGAGGGGAGGGAGGAGGAACGGACAATTCTTTGCTCGCCAATTCTTTGTGGTTCTTTCATTTTCCGCCGTACCTGCTACCTCCTCCACCTCCGCCCTTTCCTCCTCCACCCCCTCCTCCACCGTATCCTCCTCCGCCTCCACCTGTGTGTGTGTGTGTGTGTGTGTGTGTGTGTGTGTGTGTGCATCTGTGTGTGTATCTGTCTATCTGTATATGTATCTGTGTGGCGTCTACATGCTTACCATCAGGTCGCTTGGTTCACTGAACTGATGTCCGCAGCCCCGCCAGCAGCCCTTATAAGCGGCGGCGGCGCCGGCGCCCTTGTTGCGCCACTAGCTTCATGACGCAGACTTACGCTCGGGGGATACGGCGTATAATCATCGTGAAAATGATACATGATACTTACAATGTCTATATAACATACCTACAAACACATAAATGCAAACATATATATATATATATATATATATATATATATATATATATATATATATATATATTTTTTTTTTTTTTTTTTTTTTTTTTTTTTTTTCAACAGCCATTCATTGCACTGCAGGACATAGGCCTCTCTCAATTCAGTATTGAGAGGTTATATGGCAGTGTCACCTTTGCCTGATTGAATGCCCTTCCTAATCAACCGCCGTTCGGCGCGTTAACACTTGTGCCACGGCGGTGACTTCCCCTACAACACCTGCGTTTGACTTCTCAAGCCGATATGTCGTTTTCTCGGGCTCGAGGTAGCAGTCAGAGCGCAGGCATTTTTACAACCGCCGCGACGGGGAATTGAACCCGGGACCACGAGGGTCGGAGTCCAGTGCTCTAACCACTGAGCTATCGCGGCTATATATATATATATATATATATATATATATATATATATATACATATATATATGTATATATATATATTCATAATATAATATGTATATATAGATATGGATATGTATATATACATACATATATAGATATACATATACATGGATATATATATATATATATATATATATATATATATACATACACATATATGGATACATATGTATGATATACATATAATAATATATATATATATATGTATATACATACATACATATGTATATACATATGTATATGTATATTTATATATATATATATATATATATATATATATATATATATATATATATATATGTACATATATATGCATACACACTCACACACATTGGCTGGTTCTTAGCAACGTGTGGCGACAACTTTGGTTTGATTGTCGGTGCAAAAACGCGAGGTGTTGTGAAAGCCGAGGCGTGGATAGACTGACTTTCTTTAGTAGGCAAATGCCAAAAAAGGAAGGACTGTAGTGATTACAATACCCATAAGCTTCCCCTACTCCCACTCAGTGTGCTTCTGTAAACTAAGTTTTTCAGGATAAGATTCTGATGGTTTGCCAAGAGTCCACAACCTCTTGGAGAAAGCACAGGCCAGTTGGACCAGACGTGTCTGGTGCGTGGACGACAAGCGGTTCTGAAGCTACTCTTACATGTGGACTGGTAAGTGTACCTTTGGGTGACCTAAGCATGACTATTATGTTCATTGTCATTATTGATTTATGCCAGACTCACTTCTCTGAGTGATATCTCTCCTTTATGAGATATCTGAGCTGCACGGATAACTTCAGTGTAGTATCTGGCAGTGACTGAACTAGCTATGAGGTGATCATTCCTCATGGCTTGGGATCTAACACCTGTAGTAAAAGAAAGATAAATGATTAGGGACTTCACGAAGTCCCAGATATTGTGGATTGACAACTCCTGGTACACAGTACCAATATGCTGACTTGGATCTCTGGACCAGGCATAATAGTGCAGGCATGGTAACCAAGGAGAGGGATCTTATTTAATGCTCATTGGCACTACAAGGTTTTCTACTATGTTTACTCCAATGATACTGAACAAAAAATGATAAAGGCTTTGCTCTGAGTTCGTCCGATGTATTTGACAAATTTATGAACCATGGAAGTGGAATCACAAAATTTTAACATGTAATGCTGGATACAGCTTTGGAGTCCTTTGGTGACCAGCTGAAAACAAGGCAGACCATGGTGTATTATATAATTTGACTGGTTTGGAGATAGGGAATTGTATTGATCTATGGACACAGACTTCGATGCACAGGTATTTCGTCAACTTTTATGGCACTAATAGCAAGTCCTTTCACTAAAAAGTCAACGGGTTTAGTGGTCAAGCTGCATGAGTCAATAATTCTCTCAATTTGAGTATTTGGAGATTCCAGTACATAAGAAGAAGTAATCTTTGAACTGGCAAGACCACGGCCATTTCGGCTGATAGAGCTGTTACATATTCTAATGCCTCTACAATTTAGGCCAAACATTCCAAGACCTCTACAGTATACACTCATAGCACTGTCTCACTTTCCAAGACCACACCATTTGGGCTAATTGAGTGTTAATAAGGTGCTTCTTGCTCAGGGTGATGTGAAGCAATGGTGTGGTAGCCTAGATAGTATCAAGTGCTTGCATGCCTTCTCACTTGCAGCTGCCATCGCTGGCTAGCCTAGTGCAAAAGAGGGAGCAGCTCTGCATAAACTTCCCCTCCCAGTTCATAGCTTTTCCATTAACGAGACTTCTGCAGTGCCTCCTCGTGGCCACCCATAGAAACTGGGCACCTTGCAGTCCCAGGCTAAACTGTGGGAGATCCCGGAGCACCAGGAGGCCCCAGAGGTATGGAGTCATGGCCCACCAATGTGTAGACACGCCCTGGCTCCGTACCAAGTCATGCCCCTCAGCCACCCTAGGGTTAATGGACGGCTTGGTGGAGGTGAGCTTTGCCAGTCCTCCCCCAGGAAACTCACAGGCAACGTCTCGAATAAATGGATATGCTTGGGGTAGGGGTTCTGTCCCTCCCACCCAGCAAGTGAGGTGGGCTGTGGGTTCTATTTGGAGGGCAAATGTTGGGGCGTAGGATGGAAATGAGAGTTGCTCGTCCTGTGCCCTGGCAGGTGCCAACCCAGTATGATTCCTGTGGGGCAAAGCCCAAGGAAACCTCACAGGCAGATGTACCCCACAGCCTACCGCCCCCTTTATTTGGGGCAGCGTCGGCGGGGGTGGTAGAGGTGGTATGTAGGGCTCAGACACTGATGAGAAGGGACAAGGAACAGTTCATCAGGAACCTTGTTGAGGAGGTTGATGGCCATTTCTTGGTAAATAACCTTAGCCCTGCCTATCAAGCCCAGAGAAAATTAAACTCGAAGCCCTCCTTGCAGATGACTGCAATCCACTCAGTGGATGGGCAGATCATCTCAATTCATGTTGTGCTAAGTATTTTGAGCAGCTGTATCAAGTGGACTTTCCAACAGTTAGTTTGGATGCAAGTGGTATCACAATACCTCTGCCAGACCCACACATGAGCGAGGAACCTCCTACCCTAACTGAGGGGAGGATGATGATTTCTAAACTGTTGGGTGGGAAAGCCGCAGGCATATGTGATATCCCTGCAGAACACACACACACACACACACACATATATGAGGCATCACACTGCTCAGTATACCAGGCAAGGTTTTTGCCCACCTTCTGAAATGGATCTGCAACCACCTACTAAAGCATCAGGTACTCGGCGATTTGGGCGAATCCAATTAAAACGGTGAAAGTAAGTGATGAGTGATGAGTAAGTGATGCCGGCGAGATGGGTACTTGAGGAAGCCGAGAGATCCTACGATGGTTTCCCATTTTCTGAATCTGAGGTATTCTGCTACATGTAGAGCGAAGTGTGTGGGTCTCTTTCAATTTTTACTCAGGTATCAAGTAGCGAAATATAACCGCTGAGAGTACCACATACTGTATATACACTCGTGACTCGACGAATAAACGGCTTATAATCATGCCAAAGGATTATCGTACAACAAAAAATTGAAAGGTAAAAAATATCAGTGTTTGGCGAGACAAATAATTTATTGAAAGTTTATGCTCTTACACTAGAATGAAGATGGGAATGTGCATGTATGTTTTATACTGCATATTCACACAGACACGCACGTGCACGATATATATATGTATATATATATATATATATATATATATATAATGTATGTATGTATGTATATATATATATATACATATATATATATATGTATAAACACAAGTGTGTGTGTGTGTGTGTGCAGGAATGGTGTCAGGATCGGGAAGCCGTGAAACGGCCAGGACGGCGCCGGGCCGCCGGGGAAGCCGGGGAAGCCGGGACGCAGCCGAGCCGTGGAGGGGAGGGAGGAGGAACGGACAATTCTTTGCTCGCCAATTCTTTGTGGTTCTTTCATTTTCCGCCGTACCTGCTACCTCCTCCACCTCCGCCCTTTCCTCCTCCACCCCCTCCTCCACCGTATCCTCCTCCGCCTCCACCACCACTCTTTCCTCCTCCTCCTCCTCCACCATATCCTCCTCCACCTCCACCACTACTCTTTCTTCCTCCTCCTCCTCCTCCTCCACCATATCCTCCTCCACCTCCACCACTACTCTTTCTTCCTCCTCCTCCTCCTCCACCATATCCTCCTCCGCCTCCACCACCACTCTTTCTTCCACCTCCTCCTCCTCCTCCTCCACCATATCCTCCTCCTCCACCACCCCTGCTTCCTCCACCTCCTCCGTAGCTCCTGCCGCCTCCGCCTCCCCGGCTCTTGCCTCCACCTCCGCCGCCGCCGCCGTACCTCCGGCCCGGCGAGGCGTGGGCGACCACGGCCATCAGGGCCACACACAAGAAGACCACGGCAATCCTCTGCAAGGGGAGGGATACACTGTTGTAACAGAGCCTGAAGTGCAACAAATTGGCCTATCTACCTAAACATATGGTAAAATACCCACAATGTACGAATTCTCTCTCTCTTTTTACATATATATGTATATATATACACACATTTATACATATATACATACACATATACACATACACATTTATACACATGTATGTGTGTATCTATATATATATATATATATATATATGTATATGTATACATATATATGTATATACATACACAAATGTGTATATCTAATCTTATGTATGTAGATATATATTTCTATATATATCTGCATATATAGATGTATGTGTGTATGTATAAGCGTACATCTTTACATATAAATAGGCGCAAACACTCAGACACACATGTATGTATAGGCTTGTAGAAACATATCTATCTTTCTATCTATACATATTTATATATATATATATATATATATATATATATATATATATATATGTGTATATATATACATGTATACCTAGTACATACACACACACACGCACACACACACGCACGCACGCACGCACGCACGCACGCACACACACACACACACACACTCACGCGCGCGCGCACACACCCACTCACACATATATATACATATATATATATACACACAAATATATATTTATACACATGCATACATACATACATATATATATATATATATATATATATATATATATATATATATATAAATAATACACACACACACACACATATGTATGTATATATATATATATATATATATATATATATATATATATATATACATATACATACATATGTACGCATACACATTCTTGCACACACACACACACACACTTTCATGCACACACACACACACACACACACATACACACACACACACACATATATATATATATATACATACATATAATATATATATATATATATATATATATATATGTGTGTGTGTGTGTGTGTGTGTGTGTGTGTATGCGTGTGTGTATATACACATATACACACACACACATACATATATATATATATATATATATATATATATATATATATATGTGTGTGTGTGTGTGTGTGTGTGTGTGTGTGTGTGTGTGTGCATCTATCTGTGTGTGTATCTGTCTATCTGTATATGTATCTGTGTGGCGTCTACATGCTTACCATCAGGTCGCTTGGTTCACTGAACTGATGTCCGCAGCCCCGCCAGCAGCCCTTATAAGCGGCGGCGGCGCCGGCGCCCTTGTTGCGCCACTAGCTTCATGACGCAGACTTACGCTCGGGGGATACGGCGTATAATCATCGTGAAAATGATATTCAGGAAAGGCTCGAAGAGAAATCATTAAAAGTCCGTTCCCGATAATCTGCAGAATAACGATGATTTGCACAATGTTAACTTAAGCTCAAGAATTAGTCTTTCCTATGTTTTTTTTTATCCTGCATAACAGCACACATACACATACATACACACGCGTGCGTGCATACAAGCGCTTTAAAGCAAATGTAGACATGATACTTACAATGTCTATATAACATATCTAAACACACACAGAAATACATACATGCATAATATGATATGTATATATACATATTTATGAATATACATATACATGAGTATATATACATATATATATATATATATATATATATATATATATATATACATATATATACATACATATGCATACAAACACACACACACATACACATATATATATTCATTTACAAACACACACACACTCACACTGGCAGGTTCTCAGCAACGTGTGGCGACAACTTTGGTTTGATTGTCGGTGCAAAATGCGAGGTGTTGTGAAATCCGAGGCGTGGATAGACTGACTTTCTTTAGTAGGCAAATGCCAAAAAAGGAAGAACTGTAGTGATTACAACACCTATAAGCTTCCCCTACTCCCACTCAGTGTGCTTCTGTAAACTAATGAAAACCTGTTTTCAGGATAAAATTCCCGACCAGAGGTCCTCCTGGATGGTTTGCCAAGAGTCCACAGCCTCTTGGAGAAAGCACAGGCCAGTTGGACCAGACGTGTCTGGTGCGTGGACGACAACCTTTGCCAGTCCTCCTCCTTCAGGAAACTCACAGACAATGTCTCGAATAAATGGATATACTTTGGGTAGGGGTTCTGTCCCTCCCACCCAGCAAGTGAGGTGGGCTGTGGGTTCTGTTGGGAGGGCAAATGTTGGGGCACAGGATGGGAACGAGAGTTGCTCGTCCTGCCTACCCCCTGGCAGGTGCCAACCCAGTATGATTCCTGTGGGGCAAAGCCCAAGGAAACCTCAGAGGTAGATGTGCCCCACAGCCTACCGCCCCCTTTATTTGGGGCAGCGTCGGCGGGGGTGGTAGAGGTGGTATGTAGGGCTCAGACACTGATGAGAAGGGACAAGGAACAGTTCATCAGGAGCCTTGATGAGAAGGTTGATGGTCATTTTTTTGGTAAATAACCTTCGCCCTGCCTACCAGGACAGATCGTCTCAGTTCATGTTGGGGTTTGTAAATGTTAGGCTAAGTATTTTGAGCAGCTGTACCAAGTGGACTTTCCAACAGTTAGTTTGGATGCAAGTGGTATCACAATACCTCTGCCAGACCCACACATGAGCGAGGAACCTCCTACCCTAACTGAGGGGAGGATGATGATTTCTAAGCTGTAGGGTGGGAAAGCCGCAGGCATATGTGATATCCCTGCAGAACACACACACACAAGCACACATATATATGGCATCACACTGCTCAATATATCAGGCAAAAACTACCAGGCAAGGTTTTTGCCCACCTTCTTCTGAAACGGATCTGCAACCACCTACTAAAGCATCAGAGACTGGAGCAGTCTGGATTCACTAGTGGCAAATCCACAATAGACTGTATCCTAGTGCTTCGAGAAATTGTGGAATGCCATTATGAGTTTGGTTGTGGGTTGTATGCAACCTACACTGACCTCAAGAAGACATTTGACTCGGTGCAGTGAGAATCGCTATGGGAGATCCTGAGACTTAGTGGAATTCTGACATGGATTATTAGCCTAATAGCAAGTTTAAGTACCTATACCGGACCTAGGAGGTCATGGCTTGGGCAACTCGACCAGTCCTGTCACGAGGATTTAGAGTTGGACAGAGGGCTTGCCTGGAGACTCGCTATGAGGGACCTTCGTGGCTGGAAGCGAAGGGTGGATGCGACTATGCGACCCCGACGGCGTTAGCCCCTTGATGCTGATGATTCCAAAATCACGGTTAATTTGTTTGACAGAGTGTTACATATTTTAAAAACTCGGTCATTTGGGCTGAGAAAGCCATTACACATTAAAACACCACGACCATATGGGCTGATCGAATGTCACAAAGTCCAAGATCTCGGCGATTTGGGCGAATCCAATTAAAACGGTGAAAGTAAGTGATGAGTGATGAGTAAGTGATGCCGGCGAGATAGGTACTTGAGGAAGCCGAGAGATCCTACGATGGTTTCCCATTTTCTGAATCTACTGAGGTATTCTGCTACATGTAGAGCGAAGTGTGTGGGTCTCTTTCATTTTTTACTCAGGTATCAACTAGCGAAATATAACCGCTGAGAGTACCACATACTGTATATACACTCGTGACTCGACGAATAAACGGATTATAATCATGCCGAAGGATTATCGTACAACAAAAAATTGAAAGGTAAAAAATATCAGTGTTTGGCGAGACAAATAATTTATTGAAAGTTTATGCTCTTACACTAGAATGAAGATGGGAATGTGCATGTATGTTTTATACTGCATATTCACACAGACACACACGTGCACGATATATATATATATATATATATATATATATATATATATATATATATATATGTATGTATGTATGTATGTATGTATATATAAATATATATATATGTATAAACACAAGTGTGTGTGCAGGAATGGTGTCAGGATCGGGAAGCCGTGAAACGGCCAGGACGGCGCCGGGCCGCCGGGGAAGCCGGGGAAGCCGGGACGCAGCCGAGCCGTGGAGGGGAGGGAGGAGGAACGGACAATTCTTTGCTCGCCAATTCTTTGTGGTTCTTTCATTTTCCGCCGTACCTGCTACCTCCTCCACCTCCGCCCTTTCCTCCTCCACCCCCTCCTCCACCGTATCCTCCTCCGCCTCCACCACCACTCTTTCCTCCTCCTCCTCCTCCACCATATCCTCCTCCACCTCCACCACTACTCTTTCTTCCTCCTCCTCCTCCTCCTCCACCATATCCTCCTCCACCTCCACCACTACTCTTTCTTCCTCCTCCTCCTCCTCCACCATATCCTCCTCCGCCTCCACCACCACTCTTTCTTCCACCTCCTCCTCCTCCTCCTCCACCATATCCTCCTCCTCCACCACCCCTGCTTCCTCCACCTCCTCCGTAGCTCCTGCCGCCTCCGCCTCCCCGGCTCTTGCCTCCACCTCCGCCGCCGCCGCCGTACCTCCGGCCCGGCGAGGCGTGGGCGACCACGGCCATCAGGGCCACACACAAGAAGACCACGGCAATCCTCTGCAAGGGGAGGGATACACTGTTGTAACAGAGCCTGCAGTGGAACAAAGATTGGCCTATCTACCTAAACATATGGTAAAATACCCACAATGTACGAATTCTCTCTCTCTTTTTACATATATATGTATATATATATACACACATTTATACATATATACATACACATATACACATACAAATTTGTACACATGTATGTGTGTATCTATATATATATATATATATGTATAATATGTATACATATATATGTATATACATACACAAATGTGTATATCTAATCTTATGTATGTAGATATATATTTCTATATATATCTGCATATATAGATGTATGTGTGTATGTATAAGCGTACATCTATACATATAAATAGGCGCAAACACTCAGACACACATGTATGTATAGGCTTGTACAAACATATCTATCTTTCTATCTATACATATTTATATATATATATATATATATATATATATATATATATATATATATATATGTGTGTGTGTGTGTGTGTATATATACATGTATACCTAGTACATACACACACACACGCACACACGCACGCACGCACGCACGCACGCACGCACGCACGCACACACACACACACACACACACTCACGCGCGCGCGCGCACACACACCCACTCACACAT